ATTTTTCATCAAACATTGAATTTTACCTACAAAATGTAATATAACACAATTTATGTTGTATTTTTTCAAAAGAACAATAAAATTATATAGTTTCAAACTCCGAATAAGTGTAGAAAATACACTTATCAATACACATTTAGGATGAAAATTGAACTTACTATACTCGGTTGCTCCCTTTATCATTTTAGAAAAGTATTCAAGGCCCAACACAAATAGAAATGGAGAAAGAGGGTCACCTTTACAAAGACCTTTCCGTCACTTGATGAAACCATGGATGCTCCCATTAAGTGCAATAGAGTATGTAGGCATTGTAATGCATTCCATAACCCAATCAATGAATGTAGTTGGCAATCACAACCCTTCAAGAACTTTCTTAAGAAAATCTCAATTTACCGTGTCATAGGCCTTCTTCAAATCAATTTTAAGAAGGCATCTAGGAGCAACCCCTTAAAAGCTCCTGGGCCAAGTGAATATTTTCCATCATGCTCTTACCTCCACAAATACAGCTTGTGCTTGGTCTATAATGGAACCAAGTATAGGCCTCAAACGCTAAGAAAGAATTTGGTGATGACTTTATAAAACACATTGCAACAAGCAATTGGTCTATAATCACCCAGGGAAGTAGAATGACTCGACTTAGGTACCAATGCAATAACCGTGTGGTTAGTTTTCTTAGGGATAGACCTTGATACAAAAAATTCCTCAATCGCCTCTATGAACTAATCGCCAATAATATCCCAAGATTTTTTGAAAAAACAAGAAGTAAATCCATCTGGTCCTGATGATTCTTCGTCCCTATTACTAAATAGAGCATCTTTGATTTCATGCCTTTTGATATTTCAAACAAGTCTCCCAACATTTTCCTTCGATAATATGGGCCCAATACTCAAAATATCATCATTAAAGGGCTGGCCAAAACTGATTTGTCCCAACAATTAACTATAAAAGTGAACGAATTCATCTGCTACCTCCTTTTGAGAAGAAGAGTATGTACCATCCCTTTTAATAACATCTGGAATGTAGTTCCTATTAGCATTTCTCTTGACCAAGGAGAAGAAAAACTTTGTGCATTTATCACTCTCTTTCAAGTATACACACTTTGCTTGTTGATAATAAAAGCTCATTTTCACTTCACCAAGTACCATTGCTTTTTTTCTCAATCATGCAACATCACTTTATAATTGAGAATCAGTAGGATCCCCCATGCAACTCCTTTTGTGTTAGTTTCAAATTCTTTGAAGCGTGTTCGACCCTTGAAGATATGTGAGTGAAATGTTTGCTACTGAGCTTTTTTAGTGACCCTTTAAGACCTTGCAATTTCTTACAAAGCGAAAATTGCTTGGTACCATAAACAACTTGGTTCCAACTATTAGATTCCACACCATTGAAATCTTCATGGTTGGACCACATATTGAAGAATTTAAAAGGTATGTTTTTGCTCCCAACTTCCTCGAAAGAGCGATACAGTGCAAGGCTAGTGATCGGAAAGGCAACCCGATGGAGGAAAATTTGCAAAGCTATTAAAACCCCATTGGATCCAAATTCCATTCACCATAGCTCTATCAAGTTTACTCCAAACTGATCTATTAGTCCAAGTGTAGAAGCATCCAATTGCAGTTGCAGCCACAGAGAGATGGTCAATTTCAAGTGCTTGAAAAGATCAATGACAATGCATACAATTAGATCTTTTAGGTGAGTATAATGTTTCAACTACCTTTAATGTCTCTAATATTTCTCTCTTTGATGCAGGTACAGATTCGAGGTCGAATTCTTTCGAAGAGGCAAGGGATGATGTGATACATAGTACGAAGACAAGTCCGGGTAATAATCCATTGATCGTTGAGGAACTGCTTATTACTACGTCGCGAATGAAGCAGGTCAAAGAAGCAATGAAACTACTTGCTCAAGCCACGGTGGACGAAATATTGATCACGACAAGCAATGGACAAGTTTCATGTTGGGGGTGGGAGATGAAACGAAGTGGAGCAACTTGATTCAAGTAATGGATGGAGAGGTTGGAAGGAAGAACTATGTGACAACATGGTATAATTTTGATAGCAAATTTTCCAAATTTGTAGCAATCTTCTATTTTAGTTAAAATTCTATTTTTTAATATATTTTGTTATTTTTAGAGTTTAATTTCGTTTTTACTAGGGTTTTAGGTATTTTATATAAATACAACTATTATTTTCATTGAAAAAACACACAATTATTGAGAGATTAATTGCAAGACAATATCGCTTTCTTCTTATTTTTCATC